GCCTCTTGCGGGCTTTTTGGGCCGTCTTCGATTATCTTGAGGCCATCGAGGGCAGTTTTGGGTACATCTTGGGGCCATCTTAGCCGTCTTTGAGGCCATCGTGGCGGTCTTGGAGCAACTTGGAGGCCATCCTGGGACATCTTGGCCGTCTTGGAGGCCATCTTGGGGCAAGACAGGCGACGTCAGGTGGGTTTTCCGGGTGGCCGGCGGGACGTGACGAAGCCCCAGGGGGAGTTCTTTTGGAAAAAGAGCCGACACCAAAAGCGATATCATTCGGCATGCCAGGCACCCCTTTGATACATCAAAAGGGGGCGGCGGACCTGGTGCCTTTCGGCCCGTCCCGCCACCGCGCCTGAGTTTTGGTTCCATGGGCTCTTTGGAGGCCTATCGGGGGTTCCTGGGGAGCTTGGGAATGTATTCGAGTGTTCCATAATAGGCCTCGCCTTCGAGGGTGGAAAGAGTTTGCACGGAAGGCAACCGGAAACTGGCGGACTTTTTAAACATGCCAGCCAGAGAGGTGGCTTTGTTTGGGGAGGTCGCTGTTTTCGGAGCTGGTCACTTGAGGCTTCTTGGAGGCTTCACTGTGGCCGTTTTCAAGCAGTGGCGAAACGTCCAGGGTTGCCCATAGGCCCACCGACACATGTTGTGTCCGCGTTATGTTCTAAAGAGGTTGTTTTTTTTTCGAACCTTCTCTTGTTATAGTAGTATACCGTGGTCGCGGGGCGATTTTGGGGAGGGCGTGCCTCTCGCGGTCTTATAGTGGCGCGCCTGTTCTGCCCCTTTCGGGGCCGTCCTGGAAGCCTCTTCGGGCCCCCCCCCTGGAGCCTATGGGGCCGTGGTGGGGCGATTTTGCGGGCCTCCTGGATGTTTGGGGAAAGGTTTCAAGACCGCAAAGGCGAACGCGCCTTCGAAATCACCGACACATCATGCTGTTTTGCGCTGGGCGTTGGCGAAGTCAAGAGCCTCGAAGACAAGAGGGACTCTCTTTAGGAATGGCCCGTGCCCACGTCACAGAAGCAATCTTAGGCACGACAACTTTACAAGTGCTTGCCGACTCGAAGACCCTCTGTTCTGACGTGAACGAATTTGGCACGCAGGATCCTGGCGTAATTCCCGGGTTATCGCAGTGAATTCTGATGCCCACGTGAAGCACATCAAGAGTGCGTTCAAGAAGGAGCTTGCGAATTGAGGGAAGCCTAATCTCTCTGCGTGGCGGTGTCCACAAACATTTGTCTGATGTTCCCTTGGCGCGCTTGGAAAGCGCTCGCGCGCAAGCGCGCGCGGCGTAGAGTACCGCGTATTTGTTGCTGGAAACCCCAGAACAAAAAAATCAATTTCACCGAAGAAGCGGGACAACGACGACCCACATAGGAATCGAGCGTCGGTGGGCAGCTTGCAACCATTGCAATTTAACCTCAATGGTGACATTGGAGACTTGGGGCGCCCGAGACAGATCCCTTGGGGGCCGACCCTTAGGAACTTCACGGGGATCGGGCCTTGTGCGCTCGTTTGTTCCCGTGCTGGTTCCTTCAAGGCTTTTGTCGTGGGATTCCCGCGCACGCGCGCTCGGTGTCCTGAGTGTCCAAGGAGGCCAGAAGCGTCCTCCCAAACAGCCTCAGCGCATGCATCAGGGGTCAGTTCGGGGCGCGCTGGAAGTCTGAAGTTTGGGAACGCGAACCCGGCAAGCCTTGGGAAGAACGCGCAGGAATGCGCGACATCTTCGGATTGCGGCCCGCGGGAGATTCGCCGATGCGCAGCGCGCGAGATTCGTGATGGCCCCAAGGGGGGCCCAGGCAACCCGAGATGACTTCCAAGCACAAGGTCGCCAAATCTTGTTCAGTACTTCAGGGCCTTCGGCCCATTCCGCCGCCGCGCTTTGGCTGCGGGTCAAAAACTTAGGGGATGTTCGCGTCGATGTCGCGGGGAGCCCTTCAGTGGCCTCATGGGGGCCGTGTGGAAGCTTCTTGGGGGCCGTTTTTGGTGGATCTTCTGGGAAGTCTCTAGGGCCTCTCGGGGGTCTTTTGGGGCCTCTTGGGGGCCTCCTGGCGCCTCTTTGGGCTTCCTGGGGGCTTCTTTGTGGCTGGAGATTCTGGGTTTCCGTTCGTGTTCCCCCTCTGAGGTCCTTATCGGATTCGTTTTGGGGCAATTTTGGGCGGTCCTGGCCGCTTCGGGGGCAATATCTTGTTTTCTTTGGCCGTCTGGGGGCCTTTTGCGGGCCTTCTTGGGCCGCGCCGGGGAGGGACAGGGTAGCAGGTCGAAGGGCGGACAAACTAAACATGCGCGTTTGCACTCTTGTTTCGGCGCCCAAGCCCCGTGGAGGAGGGATCGGGTGGTGGGTCGAACAGCGCGCAAGTTACGGATGTAAACTAACATTCTTGATTCAGCTCGTCACACCCTGTAGATGAGGGATGGGGGTAGCAGGTCGAAGGACAGAGAAGTTAAGAATTCAGGTTCGTTTTTGTTACGTCGACCTTCACACTCGGCGGAGGATGGGCGCGGTAGTACACTACATCTCGGGCGCATCAAGACTGCAAAGTTGCATCCCAGCCGCGGCCCCCACAACCCGAACCACAAAGGAGAGGGATAGGGCCGGGTAGCAGGTACTCCAGAATTCGTAATAAAAGGGAGGGGGTCTGGACCTTCCAAGACAAGCCATTTCAGACCTCCCCCGTGGGAGAACCCTCCAAAACATCGTCCCCAGACCCCCCCAGGCCCTCCAAGATAGCCTGGAAGAGACCCCCCCCGAAATGAGACCCCCCTCCCTTTATTACGAAATCTGGAGTGGACGAGCATGCGCACTGCGAACGCAAGCTTTCAAGCCTGCCTTGCCGCACCCCCGCCGCTCCCCCCGCTCGGAGCTCCTCCCGACCACGGGGGGGCTCGCGCGCGCGGCGCTGCGTCCCGACATTCGGGGCTCTGGATCCCCTCTCCCCATCTTCCAGCCTCCGCCCTGGGGGCTCCGAGGCGCGTCAAGGCGATGGGGGCCGTGAGCCAAACCCCCTTCGCTCAGCCACCCGCTCGGCCCCCGCACCCGGAAGCCGCGGACACGCGCAGGCACGCGCTGGCCAGATTCCGGGGCGGAGCCAAACGCAGCGACAGGGGGGCCCCCCCAGCGAAGCGCAGACTTTTGGGGCACTTTCTCTTGCGACTCGCTGCCTCTTGACATCCTCTACAGCCAGCTCCAGCTCCGCCATGGCCGCCCGTTTCATATTCATATTGCGCTGATTGCCGGGAGAGGCGTCAGGTGTGACTCTGTCAGGAGGAGAATATACACACAGACACAACTAATTGCCGATTCCCTCAGAAACTATACGAAAATATGGGATGCGGGGGGGAAGCTGACAATCCAACAAATATTGGAAAATATGGGGAATCCTGTTCTTTGTGTGTATTTATTTGTGTGACTCTTGGCACGACACTGCACAGGTATAGGTGTGCTCAGGGCAGAGCAGCAGCAGCGGCAGAGCAGCGCGGGGGGGGGGGGCGGCTCCAAAGATGGGTCCAGAGCAGGAGCAGGGGAGGGCTATTTCACCAGACGCCGCATCACTCCGAGTACACCTTGAGAGGAGATGCACCACCACCACCACCAGCACCAGCCTAACCAGCACCCTGCTAAGCCTGGCGTCCTCCTCCCACCCACCCCACCGGCAATGGAGGTCGGAGGAGGAGCTGTACGTGCCGGCGGCCTTCGCCTGCCTGTTGCGCCTCCTAGAGCTTGCCTCCTCCTCCTCCTCCTCCTCGCTGCTGTCTGCTTCTCCCCCCACCATCCCGTGCACTAGGCTAGTTGTTCCCCCGCTCCTCCCCCTGCTCCCCCGCTCCTCCCCCTGCTCTCCGTGCCTCCGGCGGGCGGGCGCGCGCCTACAGGGGGGTCTGGTGGCGCACACCTCCCCCCCGCGCGCCCGTCTCCTCCGCCTCAGGGAGCCCTCTGGCTTTCTCCTCCCTCTTCCATCCCCTCCCACTTGCCCTCCCAGCAGCTCTCGCCAGGTGCGCCGGCTCGAGCATGCGGTGGCCGAAGTGGCCTGTGGGTCGTGTCGTGTCTAGTTGGCGCCACCCGACTCTGCCCAAGCAAGTCGCTGGTTGTGTCGCCAAGTCAGGACTGCCTCGCCCTCTGCTGCTGCTTGCTGGCCTTCGGCCGGAGGAGGAAAAGGAGGGGGAGGAGGACCAGGAGGAGGAGGAGGAGGAGGAGGAGGAGGAGGAGGAGGAGGAGGAGGAGGAGGAGGAGGAGGAGGAGGAGGAGGAAGGAGGAGGAGGAGGGGAGGTGAGGAGGAGGAGGAGGAGGAGGAGGAGGAGGAGGAGGAGGAGAGGAGGAGGAGAGGAGAGGAGGAGGAGGAGGAGGAGGAGGGGAGGGGAGGAGGAGGAGGAGGAGGAGGAGGAGGAGGAGGAGGAGGAGGAGGAGGAGGAGGAGGAGGAGGAGGAGGAAGGGGAGGGAAGGAGGGAGGGAAGCAGGGAGGGCGGGAGGGAGGGAGGGAGGGAGGGAGCGATGGAAAAGGAGGGGCGGGGCGAGGCCTTGCCGTGCACCCTTTTTCACTTCCGCGGCAAGAGGAAAGGAAAGCATATGGGAGGAAGCGTGACAAAGTGAGGCCCAGGCCTGGCACGGTGTTCGCTTCCTGGGCCTACAGGGGGCCAGCGATGTGCCATCCACGTGGCCCGACGGGCCCCGACATTTGTTTTGCGCGTCCGATCTTCCAGGGCGTATTCGATGCGCATGCGCTGTGCGTGCAGCGCTGCCTATTGACCGCTGTCGGGACCTCCGCAGGCGTGGGCACGCACAGGCACGAGCAAAGGGCGGAAGCAAGGAGCCCTGAAACAGGTGAATGGCCGTGCGTCTTGCCAAGGAGTGAGTTCGTATGCTGCTTTCGTGGAGCAGGAGGAGGAGGAGGAGGAGGAGGAGGAGGAGGAGGAGTAGGAGGAGGTGGAGAGTCTGGCTGGAGCGAAGCGCGTCGGCCTTTGGCGACCAGCTCCGAGTGCCACAGGCACGACGCGAGGCCTGTACGACGTCGAGCCAGGCTCAGGCAAGGCCTTTTTTGGGCGGGGGTGTGGCGCGCTGCCCGCCCGGTTCGGCCGCCCGCGCTGCCATGGCCGAGGACAGAAAGGGGAGGAGGACGAGCAGGATGTGTGGGATCATGACATCGAATTACAACAGCGCGCTGCGAGGACGAGGAGGAGGAGGAGGAGGAGGCGGAGGAGGCGGAGGAGGAGGAGAAAGAAAAGCAGCAGTAGGAGTTGAACGGTGTTGGAGATACATTTGGGAATGCGGAGCAGGGTGTCCACACCTCCGTCTGCCTACCTGCTTCTCCGCGCGAAGAGAGTGAGAAGGCGTGACAAGAGGACGCGCTGCGAGATAGCCATGGGAGAGACACTCCGGATCACGACTGCTGGGGCCGCGCGTCCATCGGGAGGTCCTCCACGTCCCGATCGAGCCGCTTCTCGGATTGTCCCGCTTCCCTGCCTTCCTGGTTTTCGCCGCCATGGGCATTCTTGCGTTTCGTACCAGGCTCCTCGCGCCCCGGCCCCGACAGCTTCAGTGCGGGTCGTGTGTGCCTCGCGCGCGGGGGTCTTCGGGCTTCGCAGGGCATCTCGCCTCCCACCCGTAGCAGTGGTAGCGGGACATCGCCCCGGCCCTGACATTCAGAAGAGGATCATATACGCACTGGCGCGTGCCTCTACCCTTCATTCTTCGACACTGCGAGGTTCGCCCCGAAGTCCTGGCCAGAACGCACCCCTGGAGAGGTCCGTGCCAACTTGCAGCGGCCAGCCACGAATGCTGAACGCCAAGTGTCAGCACGTTCTTGAGTCAGGAGGGGAAGCAACACACAGACACAATGAAACGTCGATTCCCAGGAAAATATAGGAAAATATGGGAAGTGGTGGGGAAGACCGAATCCCAGAAAATGTTTGAACATATTGGGAGTCTTGCTGTTTGTGTCTATTCATCTGTGTGTCCCTGGGCCCATTTATTGAGCACGGAACGTGGGTACGATGTCCAACAGCAAATCTTGTCCGAAACCGACATCGGCCGCTGTTCGGCAGACGACCGTGGGTCCCAAATGGACAGCGTCCGCGGCGACGCCGAACTGATTCCTGTTCAACATACGTATGCAGGACTTGTTGTGAGTCTTCGTATCCATTCCTTCCATACCCGTGTCGGTCCTCCAAAAATCGAGAAATCATTTGCCTGGGACGTTTTGAGGAAGGCCGAGCACGTCGGGCCCTGCCAGCAGCTCCCCCACGCAGCCACGCGCCGGATTCCGCGCCCTTCCGATCCCGGCTCCCGCAGCCAGACTCCCCGTGCGTTACTCGGACCGCTCGGGTCGCAGTGGCACTTCGCCCTTGCAGGATGCAAGGGCGAGGGGAACGACGGGGGAGGAGGAGGGAGCGGAGGAGGAGGGGGGGGAGGAGGAGGAAGAGGAGGAGGAGGAGGAGGAGGAGGAGGAGGAGGCCATCTGTGCTGGTAGATCCGTGGTCGAAGACCGGCCTAATCCAGCATGCTCCCGCTTACAGTCGGACCGAGGTGTACGATCGAGGTCAGTTCGGAGAGGGTACCCTAATGGTCTTCGTGTTTGTTGGGTGATCTTGTGCATCCTGGGGAGGGCACCCTCGAATGATCTTAGGTTTTGTGGTGCTTTAGCTGGCGGAGGGTCTCATGTTCTTGAAGGATGTTCTTCTGGCCTAGTTTTGACTGCAATTCCGCTTCATCCCGGTTGATTCGGCGCGATCCCAGGCTTAATTTGGGTTTGTTTGGTTCAGGAGTCCCTTCTTCGGGCTTCATAGGTTTGAACCGTTCTCGCGGAGACCTGCCAGAAGTTGCCTCCAAATGCAGCTTTTTCATTGTCATGATCACAGGACGCGTCTTGCGCGTTTCGCAGCTGGACTGGAGGACCCAACAGCCTGTCTGTTCTGGTACGGCGATGGCTGCTCCGTCATCACGGATCCGGACCTCTGCCTCAGCTCCCGCGATGGTCGCCCTTGGCGCGAGTGGAAAGGTGCCCTCGAGATGTGAGGAGAGATGGAGGAAGAGTTGGAGCAGGGAGAGATCACGGACTTCATTCAGCATGACAGTCTGCAAGAGGAGGAGGAGGAGGAGGAGGAGGAGGAGGAGGAGGAACACCAGTACTGCTGTAGCAGATGGGGCCCATGATCGGGAGGCTCATAGCAAGCCCGAGATGACCAACCGATGCGCGCTCGAAGCGCCGGTTGGAAATTGCCTTCCTTTGCCGGGACGTTTTAGTGCATATTACGCATAATTGCCAGGATGTGGACAACATGAGTCTCTCTCTCTCCCTCTCTCTTCTTGTCCGTCCAAATTCTCTGCTTCTGATATTGCTTGTCTCTTTGGCCAGGCTTCAGGCTTGCTCCGGGCGCTATTTCGGACAACGATTCCATGAGGATTTGTTTACGACGAGGGGAGGGGACGCCGAGAGAGAGAGAGAGAACGAACACCTAAATACACATGGATAAGTGACGGCCCCCAGGTATGGCGATCTACGGCCAGCCTTGTGTGTGGTGCGATGGTGGCATATGCTCGAACGAGACTGGCCGGGATGGACAAAACTGTCATCACTAATGACGCAATAGTGTTGCGCATGTCGCAGACACGCGAGGTTGCTCCTTTTACCCATCAGCGTTGCCGCGTATTTCCAACGCCGAATTCGGGAGGCGTCGCAGTACTGATGCAGCGTTGAGCGATTGTAACGTTTCAGGGCTGTTGCGTCGCATGTTTTTTCCCCAACCTTTCTGTGGTGTTGGGTCCTCGTTTTGAAGAGACAGCGCCCCGCGTCCCACCTCCTCTCCTCTCCTCCCTCCTCTCGCGCCCCCCATCACCATCATCATCAGCATCCTCATCATCCTCATCATCATCCTCATCATCATCATCATCATCAGCATCATCATCTCCATCACCATCACCATCACCATCATCATCATCATCATCATCATCATCATCATCATCATCATCATCATCATCATCCGCCGCAGCATCATCATCATCATCATCCTGATCATGTTCATCATCATCATCATCATCATCATCATCATTTTCAGCAGCAGCAGTTCAGCATCAGCATCAGCATCGCCAACGTCATAATCATCATTACCACCACCACCATTATCATAATCATCAGCATCACCTTCATCATCAATATCATCATCATGATCCGCATCATCATCAACACCATGGTCATCAATCATCATCATTACCACCACAATCATCATCATCATCAGCCTCTTCCTCATCATCTTCATCGTCGTCATCACCACCATCACCATCATGATCATCATCATCATCATCATCATCATCATCATCATCATCATCATCATAAGCATCAGCATCAGCATCAGCATCAGCATCAGCATCATCACTGTCGTCCTCATCACCATCATCGCCATCACCGCCGCCGTCATCATCACCATCAGAGCCATCATTTCCGGGACAACCCTCTTACGTTCCGTGGCCCCATAGGAATCTTCACTTGAGGTACCGGTGGCAGGGTCCACATGCGGTTCGACCCCCGTTTCGGCGCACTCCTCACACTCTTCGTGGCCCCATAGGGAGCTCCACCGGAGGCCCCAGTGGGAGGGCTCGAATGCGGTTCCACCCCAATTTCGGCACACCCCTTGAACGGTTCGTGGCCCTATAGGGTGCTTCACCGAAGGCCCCATTGGCAGGGCCCGCAGGCAGTTCCACCCCCATTTCGGCGCACCCCTCACACGTTTCGTGGCCCCATAGGGTGTTCCACCGAAGGCTCAAGTGGCAGGGTCCGCGTGCAGTTCCACCACCATTTCGGCGCACCCCTCACACGTTTTGTGGCCCAACAGGGTGCTCCAACGAATGCCCAAGTGGCAGGGTCCTCGTGCAGTTCCACCCCCATTTCGGCGCACCCCTCACACGTTTCGTGGCCCCAGTGGCAGGGTCCGCATGCAGTTCCATTTTTATTTCGGCGTACCCCTCACATGTTTCGTGGCCCCAGAGGGTGCTCCACCGAAGGCACCAGTGGCAGGGTCCGCATGCAGTTCCACCCCATTTCGGTGCACCCCTCACACGTTTCGTGGCCCCGAGGTTGCTCCACCGAAGGCCCCAGCAGCAGGGCCCGCATGCAGAACCACTCCTATTTCGGCGCACCCCTTGCACGTTTCGGGGCCCCATTGGGTGCTCGTCGAAGGTCCCAGCGGCACTGTTCGCACGCGTCCCCGCCACCCATTTTGACGCACCCCTCATACATTTCGTGGCTCCATAGGGAGCTCCACCGAAGGTCCCAGTGGCACCGTTCGCATGCGCCCCTGGCACTCATTCTGGTTTACTCCCATCACGTTTCGTGGCCCCATAGGAACCTCCACCGAAGACGATGCTTCCAGCTGCGTTTCTCACAACTGCATGCTGGTGGGTCCTTCGCCAGGCTAATTTCGGGGCTCTTTAGGGCCTTTCGAGGGGTTGCTTTGAACACCTATGGAGGTCGTTGTGGGATATCGGGGCTTCCTCGGAGTACTTCAGGCCTTAGGGGTCGTTGTGCATTCGACTGGTGGCGTTCCAGAGGGTATTCTGTACTTCCAGTGCGTCGGTCAAGAATGCCATAAGGCAGTCAAGAGGCATCGTGGATGCTATTCCGGGCTATCTTGCATTATTTCAAACTGTTATCGGCTTTCGGACGACCCATCGATGAGAATGCATACCTTGGGAGGCTAAATTCAGCATCGGCGTTGGTATATCCTACATCTGCGGTCGAAAACTGGTCCAGTCGGGCATGATCCTGTTCAATCCGGCTTAATCCCGTTTATTTCGGCTCAATCATGGTTGGAATCCGACCCAATCCGGCATCGTGGCCCTTTGATCGGCCGGTCCCTGGGACACCTCCCGGGAGCCATCTCCTAACATCGATGGCGGGACTCCTTGAGCAATCCATGCAGTTGTTTTCTGAGGGTTGGTTGGGTGTTTCTCAGGGGTCGTCGGGTGATCTTGGAGAGTTTCGGCGCGGTCAGAGGAAGTGCCTGTCCAGAAACGTTTTGTGGCCGTCTCAGAGTCAAGAGGTGGCAGTCGGCTGTGGTTGTGTTGATCGCAGGGGCTGTCTTGCACAAGACTTGGGGCGTCGTGTCGGGGCCTTTGTGACCTCCCGAGGGAGTTCTGTTCGCTCCCCCCCACCCCCCACTCGCCCTCCGCCCCTCACCCCCTCCCCACCCTGGGCAAGAATTCGCCGTCCTTCAATCATGTATTCACAACGCTCGGTTTCGGACGGGGCTCGGGATTCCTCAGGTTCTTCCTATTGTTTTCTCGCGTCCGAAGAACATCGACCTGTGTTGCAATGAAGTGTTTCGCGGAGTGTTTTTCTTTGGGGGGTATGACTGTTCTGTTGCAAGGGCTTGTGAGGCGCTATAGTACGACAAGTAGTTGCTGACACGCTGGCGCGCTGCAAGCGAGGTGGCGGAGGCGGATTCTGTATGTGTGTCGCTATCGAATCGGGATGTCGTTAGCCTCTGCATTTTAGTTGTTTGTGGCGGTATGAACATGTGTCCACGCCTTGCAGTGAATGGTCCATGCGCAGCGTCGTGGCACACGCTCAAAGCCGCCAACTCATGGGCTGTCCGCGTGATTTTGCTGCTTGTGGTGCTGGTCCTCTGGGATTTGTCAAGCCAGATCTGACTCTGTGCCGTAGTGGCGGCTGCCGAGTCTCGAGAGAGCCTTTAGAGACAAGGGACGGACAGGCGAGCGTGTGCTTCTCTCTTCGAAAGAATGGGTGGGACATGGTCACAGTCGCGCGTCGGTCGCGCCACTTGCTGCAGCACTGCGAAGAGTTGCGGGCGGGGGCAGATAGTCTTTGCGCGCCGAAGTCTGCGGTTGAGGACTCTTGGTATGCGCTTTGTGTTGCTTGCCCCGTCTTGTCTTGTGTTGCTCACGTTTGAGATTTTCCACCCACCAGCCCACCCCAATCCAACCCGAAGGCACCGATTTGCCCTCCATATCCAGTGGAGGAGGGGTCGGGGAACATTGAAATAGCGCACATGAAGCCCGTCCCCCCCCCTCCCTCAACCCGAAATTCGGGTCTTCGGATTGGGTTGGGGTTGTCTGGTAGGTAATCAGCGACGTCGCCTACAGTTGCAAGGGACTTGCCGTAAGAACCGTGCTTCGAAACCAGTCATCCCAGCAGGCGGCTCTGACGTACCTCAGCTCATGTTATTGCCTTGCACGTTAGACCGATGCACGTGCCCACGCTTCGTGTGTAGCCTCCGAGGTCACACAACGTCCGTTGGATGTACGGGTCTGCAGATCCATGCGCCCCGCAGCTAGGCAACGAAGAGCTGCTGTTGACACGGGAGGAGGATTGCCATGATGGCTGCGCACTTCGGTATTTTGATTGCGAAGGCCTGACGGCCGGTGCCGCCGACCCTGAAGAGGACCACGACGTCGGCGACGAAGCGGGCGGAGACGGAGGCCGTGGAGGAGGAGGAGGAGGAGGAGGAGGGAGGAGGAGGAGGAGGAGGAGGAGGAGGAGGAGGAGGAGGAGGAGAGGAGGAGGAGGAGGGAGGAGGAGGGAGGAGGAGCGTGGAGGTGGAGGTTGGAGCAGGAGGGGGAGGAGGAGGGGGAGGAGGGGGGAGGAGGAGCAACCACTCTTGGCACCTCGGGATTTCTACTGCTCTTCTGAGGAGCGGGGGCGGCCAGGTGGTCGCCGTCGCCAGCCCGCCGCCGCCTCGGCACGCCGCCCCTCGTCTGGGCCTGGCTGCTGCTCCGGCAGCCACGTGGGCGCCGTCGCCGCCCCTGTCGCCGCTTCGTCTCCGCCTCGTCGCCGCCCCGCACACGTCTTCATTCGCGGGTCGGGAGCGCACCTCTTCCAGTCGAAGCTGGGCGGGCCGCGCGAAGCTTGAATTAACCAGAGATGGGGGAGGAGAGGGGGGGGGCGCGTCGCCGCCCCCCCCCACACACTTGAACCACATTCATTGCACCACACCTCCTTAGGGGAACGACGCATGGCATACACATGATAAAACCTCGGAGGTCCGCGCGGATTTCTCGGATCGGCGCTGGACCCCCCTCCCTGGCGCCCGGAGCGCGCCAGGGGCGGCGCAGGAGGCGCCGCCAGGGGGGTCCAGCGCGGATCCGAGAAACCCGCGTGGCCTCTGAGTTTTTATGTTTATGTCATTCTTCGTTCCCCTAATATCGCACACCATAGGCCACAACACATATATTGCACAACATAGGTCGCACCGCATAGGTTCTCCTTTCTAAGAGAAGAATAGATTCTATCTTCCCCCGGAGTTGACGATCCATCTTCTCGTATTGCAATGTGCATATGATTCTTCCCCATCGTCCATCCGCAGTATGAATTCATACTATCCCAGCCAGGCCGGTATCACTTCCCTCCGTTATTCTTCTCATCAAAAACACTATGCGCGCGCTCGCATTTATCACAACATCATAAGTTTTCAAGAATGCTTGGCAACACAATTGGATGAAGTGCACACGCGCGCGTCGTCGCGCGCGCATGCCGAAATCATTCAAGAACCTTCGGCTTCGGAAGGATTTCAAAATCGTGTGCCCAAAAAACATACAAAAACAAAAGGTTTCGCAACACGGATTTTGAACAAAAGCGTGGGCGCGCGCTCTTGCGTCGTCGTCGTCGTCGTCATCGCCGTCCTCAGTCCTCCCTCGTCGTCGTCGTCGTCGCGTTCGTCGTCCTTTGTCTTTCCTCGTCGTCGTCGTCTTGGCGTCGTCGTCGTTTCCGTCGTCGTTGTCGCCGTGGTCGTCCGTCCTCCCTTGTCGTCTTCGTCGGAGTTTCGTCGTTGTCCATCATATTTCGTCGCCGTCGTCGTCGTCGTCGTCGGCGTGTTCCCTCCTCCCTCGTCGTTGTCGTCGCCGTCGTCGTCCTCCCTCCTCCTTCGTCGTCGTCGTCGTCTTCGTCGTCGCCGTCGTCGTCGTCGTCGGCGTCGTCGTCGTCGGCGTCGTCGTAGTCGTCGTCGTCGGCGTTGTCATCGTCGCCGTCGTCGTCGTCGTCAGCGTCGGCATCGTCGTCTTCGTCGTCGTCGGTGTTGTCGTCGTCGTCGTTGTCGTCGTCGTCGAAGTTGTTGGAGACGTCGTCGGTGTCGTCGTAGTCGTTGTCGGCGGCGTCGTCGTCGTTGTTGTCGCTGTCGTCGTCGGCGTCGGTGTCGTTGCCAAGTGCCAGTAGGTACCCACCGTCAAAGTCTTACGAGGTCTTGCGACCAAGTTACGGGTGGGAGGGTGGAATGTTTGCACGAGCAGTGGAAGGGACGTTTTCAAGTTGAGCGGGTGAATTCTCCTTTCTACAAAGAGAATAGACTCTACCCCCCCCCGGACTTATCGGCTCCCCCTGGACAGTATGATTTCACATATATTATGCATACTCGTCCATCCGAAATATGAAATCGTACCATCCCAACCAAACTGGTTCCCCCCCTGAGGTTCCCTTCGCGCGCGTCGTCGCGCGCGCATGCCGAAATCTTTCAAAAACCTTCGGTGCCGGAAGGATTTCGCAATCGAGTTTCCAAACAACATACAGAAACACATGGCTTCGCAGCACTGATTAGCTGGAAAAGAATCCGCGCGAGCTCTTGCGAAATCTTAAGATAACCATAGGTTTTTCAAGATTTTCACAAAATGCTACCAAACGGGCTTCGCGCGCGCGCGTGTCGAAATCTGTCGAACGCCCTTGCGCGTGTGCCGTCGCAAGAATCTTCTGCAACAAATGGGACGAAGTGCAGACGCGCGCGTCGTCGCGCGCGTATGCCGAAAACCTTCAAGACCCATCGGTTTCGGAAGGATTCCAAAATCGTGTGTCCAAAAAACCTACAAAAACACAAGGTTTCGCAACACGGATTTTCAACAAAAGCGTGCGCGCGCGCTCTTGCGTCGTCATCGTCGTCGTCGTCGTCGCCGTCCTCCCTCCTCCCGCGTCGTTGTCGTCGTCGTCGTCGTCGCCTACGTCGTCCTCGGTCTTTCCTCGTGTTCGTCGTCGTCGTCCTCTTTGGCGTCGTGGTCGTTTCCGTCGTCGTTGTCGCCGTGGTCATCCTTCCTCCTCCTCCCTCGTCGTCGTTGTCGTCCGTCGTCGGCGTCTCGTCGTCATCCCTCCTCTTTCGTCGCCGTCGTCGTCGTCGTCGTCGTTGTCGTCGTCGTCGTTTTCTCTCCTCCCTCGTCGTTGCCGTCGTCGGCGTCGCCGTCCTTCCTCTTTGTTCGTCGTTCGCTTCGTCGCTGTCCTCCCTTCTCCCTCGTCGTTGTCGTCGTTGTCGCCGTCGTCGTCCTCCTCCCTCGTCGTCGTCTTCGTTGGCGACGTCGTCGTCGTCTTCGTCGTCGTCGTCGTCGCCGTCCTTCCTCCTCCCGCGTCGTCGTCGTCGTCGCCTACGTCGTCCTCTGTCTTTTCTCGTGTTCGTCGTCGTCGTCTTCTTTGGCGTCGTGGTCGTTTCCGTCGTCGTCGTCGCCGTGGTCGTCCTTCCTCCTCCTCCCACGTCGTCGTCGTCGTCCGTCGTCGGCGTCTCGTCGTCGTCCCTCTTATTTCGTCGCCGTCTTCGTCGTCGTTGTCGTCGTCGTCTTCCCTCCTCCCTCGTCGTTGTCGTCGTCGGCGTCGCCGTCCTTCCTCCTTAGTCGTCGTTCGCGTCGCCGCCGTCCTCCCTCCTCCCTCGTCGTTGTCGTCGTTGTCGTCGTTGTCGCCGTCGTCGTCTTTCCTCTTCCCTCGTCGTCGCCTTCGTTGGCGTCGTCGTCGTCGTCTTCGTCGTCGTCGGCGTCGGCGTCGCTGTCGTCGTCGAGTTCGTCGGAGACGTCGTCGGTGTCGTCCTAGTCGTTGCCGTCGGTGTCGTCGTAGTCGGTCTTAAGGGGTTTTGCAAACCAAGTTGCGGGCGGGTGGGTGGGATGTTTGCGCGAGCAGTGGAGATGACGACTTCAAGTTCAGCAGAGTGGATTGCACCACATAGATCGCACACTTTAGTTTGTAACACATTGACCGCACCGCATAATTGCACCAAGGAGACGCGCCATAGATTTTCCTTCCTCAAAGAGTGTTAGGATCTACCCTCCCAGGGTTAACGGTGCACTTTTTCGCATTGCAAGTTACAGTTACATATGATTATGCCCCATCGTCCGTTCTGAATAGAAATCACCATCCCAGGCAGGCGGGAGCTCCCCCTTCCATTTGTTTGCACAAATATACATGCGAGCGCATTTTTTATCAAAATCCAATTCCCAAATTTGAACAGTCGCTGGCAACAAACAGGACGACGTGCACACGCGCGCGTCGTCGCGTGCGCATGCAGAAATTTACCAAAAAGTCGCGTGAAGAATTTCAAAATCAAGAGTCACAAACAATTATGAATAAGCCTGCGCCCGCGCTCTTGCGAATTCTTACGAAAGCCACCCGCTCTTTCAGATTTCAATGACATATTACCGAAAGGGTCCCTCGCGCGAGCATGTCGGTTTCGCTCGAACGATCTTTCGCGCGTGCTGTCGCAAGAACCCCATGCAAAAAACTGGACGACGTGCACACGCGCGCGTCGTCGCGCGCGATTGCTGAAATCCTTCAAATACCCACGGGTTCGCACGGGTTTCAAAAACGAGCGTCCCGAAAACATTACACACAGTGGGTTTTGCAACGTCTGTTTATTTTGTCCCCAACCGTCTTGTGGTGTTGGGTCCTCGTTTCGAAGAGACGGTTCCCGCGCTTCTCCTCATTCCTCCTTCTCCCACTCCTCCTCCTCCCTCCTCCCGGCACATTTTCACTTTGGCACACTCCTCACACGCTTCGTGTCCGCATATGGAGCTCCACCGAAGGGCTACGCGGGGGTGCCCGCATGCACCCGCCACACCCAGCACAGCGCTTCGTGGCCCCATAGGGGATTCCACCAAATGCCCCAGTGGGGGTGATCGCATGCGTCCGCCACACCCAGCACAGCACCTCGTGGCCCCATAGGGAGCTCCACCGATGGGCCCTGGCGGGGGGTCACGCATGCGCCCGCCGCACCTAGTACAGCGCTTCGTGGTCCCATAGGGAGCTCCACCGAAGGGCCCCAGCGGGGGTGCCCGCATGCGTCCGCCACACCCGGTAAATCGTTTCGTGGGCACATCGGAAGCCCGCATGCATCCGCCACACCCAGGTTCAGCGGGACCGAAGGTTCAGCGGGACCGCCCGCATGCATCCGCCACAACCAGTACGGCGCTTCGTGGCCCCATGGGGGTTCCACCGAGGGCCCCAGGTGGACCGCCCGCATGCGTCCGCCACCCAGTTTAGCGCTACATGACCCTATATGGAGCTGCGCCGAAAGTCCCAGTGGGGCGGCCCGCGCGCGTCCCCCCCACCAAGTACAGCGCTTCGCGGCCCCATAGGGAGCCCCACCGACGGCCCCAGTGGCACCGCTGCGTCCGCCCCACCCAGTACAGCGCTTCGTGGCCCCATAGAGAACTCCAGCGAAGGCCCCAGTGGGACCGCCCGCACGCGGCCCCCCCACCCGGCACAGCGTTTCGTGGCCCCGTATGAGGGCTCCACCGAAGGACCCAGGGACCCAGTGGCACCGCCCGCATGCGCCCCCCGCGCCCATTACGGCAAGCCCCATCACACGTTGCGTTGCACAACAGAAGCGGCACCCACAACGCGTCACTCACAATTACATTTGGTTGAGTCTTTCGCCAGGACTGTTTTTGTGCGCTCGCGGTTGCGCGGGCACCTAAGACAACCATGGGTTGTTCATCATGTTCGTCCAACTGTGCTCAACAGGCCTTTTCACGCCGCATGTCGAAATCTTTCGGATGCCCTGGCGCGCGTGCTGGGGGGGGGGGGGGGGGGGGGGGGGGGCAATGTCCATGTCAAATGGCGCCGCGCGGGCCATTCGCTCGCGCGCGTCGGGGCCGCGCGCGTGTCGAACTCTTTCAACAAGTTGCATATCTGACGCGTGGATATCGTCATTCTCATTGGCGGGCGTCATCAACATCGGCTCCGGCCTGGGCCTTGCCGTCGTCATCGCCACCATCATCGCTACTCCCAAAGTCGTATATACCGCTGCCGGCGTCGACGTGACACCGCGCCCGCCCAAATCACCGACTCGCACTGAAATGCCCGCTGGGAAGTGCACAGCGGTCAGCGCGCCCGCTGCTGCGTCGGTCGCGCCAAACTAGCTGGCCGCTGTGCGCGCGAGCATGCGCGTGCTAACCGCCAACCGCCAACCGCTCATCGCCAACGCCAGCCGCTCATCGCAATCGCCGCCGCGTGGGTTCTGCGAACCAAGTTGCGGGTGGGTGGGTGGGCTGTTTGCAAGAGCGCGGAATGTGTCAACTCGTTTGTAAAATCAACTGTACCACGTGGACTGCCCCAAGCCATTTAAGCTCACCCCCCCCGTCGGCTTCGAGGGCGCGGCAGCGCAGCGCCGTGGCCGCTGCGAGCGACTCGACGCGCAGGGTGCCAATGGGCGCCGGCCTTCTTGCATCGGTGGCGTATGCCGCGAAGGGCGGGCAGGAGATCAAGCCGCTCCCAGGCGCGGAAAGCGGCGGTCCAGCGTTTGGCGACACCGCCTCCAAGGAGCGCATCAGCCGCCCCGCGATTCTGCTAGAGCACGGCGCCAGTGCACCGGGCAGCGGTTCTGCGATCAGCGAGGTGGCCACGGAGCGCAGGAGTTGCCAGACGGCGCCAAGTTCGATGGCCAGTGGCGCAATGCCCATCACAGATGGCTTTGGCAAGTTCGAGCACGCAGATGGCGACGTGTACGAGGGCCAGTGGAAAGTGGACGCGGCGAGCGGCGAGGGCGCCCCCCGCCGCGCAGACGCCCCCCGGCACGGCGGGCAGCGAAAGGACGTTCAGAAGGAGGGCCAGGCGGTCGAGGAGTGAGCAGACAGATCGCGCTTCAAGGGCCAGCACCGCGCCGGCAAGCAGCACGGCGAGGGCAAGTGCACCTCGCCCGAGGGCCCATCGTACGTGGACGAGTTTCAGAACCGCGAAATCCACGGCAAGGGCCTGCGCGCGTGGAGCGACGGCAGGGTCTTCAACGGCCAGCGGATGAAGAACAGGATGTCCGGCGAGGGCGCGTTCGCTTGGAAGGGCGGCAGGAGCCACTGCGGAGCTCATTTCAACGACGAGAAGGACGGCCAGGGCACCCTTCGCGTGGCCCGACGGCCGGGGGTGCAACGGGCAGTGGAAGGAGGGCTGCCAGCACGGCGCGGGCATCTTTGACGGCGGTGGGCGACCTCCGCGAGGGTGGGTGGCGGGATGGCCAGGGCGCGCGGTGGCTCTCCGAGGCCTTCAGCCTTCGGCCCGCGAGGCTCGCCAGACGACGCGGCCTGGCCGGTGATCTGCGCCGTTCGGATCCTCTGCCGGCCTCGGGCGTTGCCCCCGTCTGCTTCCTCCTCGTCCGATTCGCTCCTGCTCTGCTATCCCCCGCGCGGTGCTGCGCCCGTCCTTGTCGCGGATTGGCTTGGAAGCGCGACCAAAGATTGTAGAAATGGCCGCGAGTAAAAATGAACGACGTGCACGTGTCTTCTGTTGCGCTGCAGGCCGGCCTTTACAGCTCTGGCTCGCCGCCCCCTTGAAAGGGGGGGGGGGGGGGGCGCGCCGCCGAGCTTGCCAGGGCCGGTCTCTCTGAGTCGCGCGGTTGGCTGAAGGAGAGCGAGGTCCTTCAGCATCTCCGGCGAGGTCTCTAAAGTTAGGCTCGTGCTTGGTAGTAATTTTCGGCGTGGTCCGCGAGTGTCCACCTCTGGCGCGTTGCGCAAGTGTGCATGGAAATTCACCGCGTAGGTTGCACCGCGTGAATCCCAATCATTTCTTTCGTCTGCACAGCATAGATCGCACGCCGCACGCTGCGTTGCAAAAGTTGCACCGCGGATTATGCACAGCAGAGATCGCACCACATATACTTTCATCGTTTACAGGAAATTAGGTTCTACCCCCATCACCCCCCGGGGGTGATCCACCGCGCGCTTCGATTGGCAATTCATATATGTTCGTGACCCTTCGTTACTTTTCCTGATGAACTCATACCATTCCCAGCCCAGCCGGTATCGACCCCCCCCCCTCCATCCTCTGGAAAAATTTACGCGCGCACATTCGTTTATCACAAATGAGAAGTTTCCAAGAATCCCTGGCAACAGCTGCGACGAAGTACGCGCGCGCGCATCGTCGCGCGCGCATGCCGAAATCAATCAACAGTTTTCGTTGTCGGCAGCACTGCAAAATCGAATGCCCAAGAAGCATAACATCACATGTCTTCGCAACGCGGATTTACGAAAGAAACATGCGCGCGTCCTTGTGAATTCTTAAAACAAACCATTGGGTTTCAAGGTTTCCAGAACATACTACCAAACGGGCGTCGCGCGCGCATGTCGAAATCGTTCGAACGCCCTTGCGTTCGCGCAGTCGCGAGAATCTTCTGCAACAGGCGAGACGAAGTGCACGCGTGCGCGTCGTCGCGCACGCGTGCTGACGTCCTGCAGAAACCTGTTGCTTCGAAAGGATGTCACATTTGAATACAAACACACCTGGTTTCGCGGCATTGATTTCCAACGCAAGCGTGCGCACGCGCCCTTGTGAACTCTAAAAAAGAAGTATGCGTGTCTTTTTGCAACATGTTCACGAAATTATACGGAACGGCGGGTTTCGTAGGCGTACATCGAGATCGTTCGAACGCCCTTGCGCGCGTGCTGGGGTGGCACGACCTGGTCAAACAGTACCATGCGAACCACTCTTGCGCGTCTGCCGCGCGCGCATTTCGAATTCCTTCCACAACCTCCGTCACCGACGCGAAGGCGCTGTCATCGTCGTCGCCGTGATTGGCGTCGGCGCCGTCATCGGCCGTGCCGTCGTCGCTGTCAGCAACGTCACCAACATCGCTACTATCGTCACCGTCGAGTCTACAATAGTCGACGTTGCCATGACACCGCACCTGTCCCAAATCGCCGACCCGCATTCAAGTGCCCGCTGGGATGTGCCGAGCGGCCAGCACCACCGCGGCCGCGTCGGTCGGGCCGTGCGGTCGCACCGCCGCGCGCGCACGCGCGGGCTGGCGCGGCGCCGCAGAGACGCACCAGCAAGCGC